TAAACCGACACTTTTCATACATGTTACTTCGAAGTAAAATAGACACAGCATTTTTGTAACACACACATCTTGCAATCTGTGCCCAACACATGTATGTTATGAACAGCCAACATTTAACGCTGTGGCGTAAAACATCCATTCACAGGCACACACACACACACACACACACACACACACATACAAATTCTCTTACAGACACCGTTGTGTCACATTAAAACACTCGTTCTTCTATTTCCAATCACCCTACAATTAATTGTCTCTTAATTTCACACTTACACAAATCAAAACGCCCCGTTACAGAGGCGTAGCTCAGGGAGGATATCAACAAGAAGCTAAATGTTAGCGCGACCCTCCCAAATCTACTCCACAAAATGCCTTGGGTAAAAAACAAATATCCATTTTCAAATGGTTCAAGCTCTGACCGACATCTGGATCCACACAGGAAATGACATCAGCCATTCCTACCCCAATATCAATGGCAGTCACTATGGCCAGTGTGGGCGTGTCCTACAGCCTGTAAGCTGACATTTATAGATCCTCCCCCTTCCTGTCCACCCCGAGGTGACGAAGGGAGGGAACTCGCCATCAGAACCATCAATCATGATTGATCAGCCAATCAGTAGGAGATGATTCCCGAAGAGGCGGGGCTTGCGGGCGTGGCCTGCAAGTTCCCCGATGAATTGGATCGTCTCATGTGAGGAAGAAGGTACGAGTCGCTGCCTAGCTGGTGGACATCAAAGCGATCCTCCTTCCTGTAAGCCAGACAGCGGCGGATAAACGCCTGCGGAGGACAAGAAAGAAACTCAAGACTGTCGTTTCCACACAAACTCACCTCGCATGCCTCAAACTGACCTTGGCCTCGGTGCTAGCCACAGGTTTGGCAGGAAACTGCACCTCAGTGGCTTTCAGGATGGTGTTCTCTTGAAGGATGTCTTGCTGGGATTGATTATGGCCAAACGGCTACAGAACAACAAAAGATTCAATGCAGCGTCATCCTAAAAGTAGTTTAAAGTGACTCAGAGAACGGTTTGGAAACAATGCGCCTTACCTTTCGTCCATACAGGCACTGGAAGAAAATAACACCCACAGACCACACGTCTACTTTATTAGAGATCTTTGGAGGTTCTTTACCAACGACAAAACACTCTGGTGGCAAATACCTAAAACATCAGAACATTTGGTCTTCGTTAGAACATTTAACCCTGTAAAGCCCAACATATACGTTTTTGAAGCAGTCATATGGACTACATTTATACTGTTATTTTGTGCTTCCTGGAGCTTTAGAGCATTTAAATATTCTTAAATTTTGGGTTCCACAATAAAAATGTACTGAGAAAGACGTGAGATTGAGTTGAACCACTTCTTTTCTCCATTAGGATCTGTCATGGCTTTTCCTATCACTGCTATGCTGATGGCACTCAACTCAACCAGATGATCTCTGGCTGGATGAATGACCACCACCTTCAACTCAACCTTGCTAAGACTGCACTGTTTGTGGTCTCAGCCAACCCAGCACTTCATCACAACTTCTCTATACAGCTAGGTTCGTCAACCACAACTCCTTCCAGGACATCCAGGAACCTTGGAATTGTGATTGATGATCAGTTAAGCTTCACAGACCATATTGCTACAACGTCCCGGTCCTGCAGATTTGCCTTATACAACATTAGGAAGATTAGACCCTTCCTATCAGAGCAGGCCACACGACTCCTTGTCCAAGCTCTTGTTCTCTCCAGACTGGACTATTGTAATGCTCTCTTGGCAGGTCTTCCGGCATGTATTATCAAGCCTCTGCAGATGATCCAGAATGCAGCAGCAAGGGTGCTCTTCAACGAGCTGAAGAAAGCCCACGTCTCACCTCTCTTCATCATCAGTTTGCACTGGCTGCCAATAGCCGCTCGCATCAAATTCAAGGTACTGATGTTTGCCTACAAGACAACTACTGGCTCTGCACCAATATACCTAAACTCGCTAGTTCAGACTTACGCGCCCTCCAGAAGCCTCGTGGTGCCATCCCAAAGAGGCACAAAATCAATCTCACGGACCTTTTCCTGGACTGTTCCAAGCTGGTGGAACGACTTGCCTATATCAATTCGAGCAGCTAAGTCTTTAGCCATTTTCAAAAAAACGTCTAAAGACATCTTTTTCAGATGGCACCTGACCAATTATTTCTATTCTATTCATTTTTTCAAATTTATAAAAAAACGAATTCGCTTCGGATAAAAGCGTCTGCTAAATGATTAAATGTAAACGTAAGTAATGTTGTTTAGTGCATTGAACTGACCAGTAGGTTCCGGCTCCCTGTGATGTCAGGTCCATCCCGTCCACTCCGTAGCTGTCGTCATCCATGATTTTTGACAGGCCAAAGTCTGTGATCTTTATCTCCCCACATGCTGTTCCATCCACCAACAGGATATTTCCTGAGCAACCAAGAAACACACTTCCTATACAGTCTGCGTGACAAATAACCACCAACAATCCTTCGAGAGGAGTTCACGTGAATGAAAATTTTGTGATACAGCAGTTAAAAAGAAATAGTTCAGCCAAAAATGAGAATTTGCTGAAAATGTACTCAGGCCATACAAGATGTAGTTGAGTTTATTTCTTCATGGGAACAGATTTGGAAAAATGTAGCATTACATCACTTGCTCACCAACGGAGTGAATGGGTGCCGTCAGAATGAGAGTCCAAACAGCTGATAAAAACATCACAATAATCCACACAACTCCAGTCCATCAGTTAACATCTTGAGAAGTGAAAAGCTGTGTAAGAAACAAATCCATCATTAAGATGTTTTTAACTTCAAACCATTGCTTCTCGCTAAAAAATATACGTGTCCATAATCAATAATATTGCTTTCTCCAGTGAAAAAGTCCATCTCCTGTTGTCCTCTCACATCAAATCCACCCACATATTTGTTTAGAGCTGTTTTCAATTGTAAACTGAGCTTGATCTGTGCAGATTTCTTTCCGGATTAGACTTTTTTCACTGGAGGAAGTGTTATTATAGACGGTTTGAAGTTAAAAACATCTTAATGATGGATTCGTTTCTTACAAACATGAAGCTTTGTGTGGATTATTGTGTTGTTTTTTTCAGCTGTTTGGACTCTCATTCTGACGGCACCCATTCACTGCAGAGGATCCATTGGTGAGCAAGTGATGGAATGCTACATTTCTCCAAACCTGTTCCCATGAGGAAACAAACTCATCTACATCTTGGACAGCCTGAGAGTGAGTAAATTTTCAGCAATTTTTTTTATTTTTGGGTGACCTATTCCTTTATTGCGTGTGTTGCATTCACCTGGTTTCAGGTCGTAGTGGATGATGGGCGGTTTGATCTCATTGAGGTATCGGAGGGCGTTGACTATCTGCATGACGATGGAGCGAGCCTCTTTCTCAGACATCAGCTTGTGTTGCTTCAGATAGAAATCGAGATCATTCCCCTCACAGAACTCGAGAACAGTGCAGAATCTAGAACAAAAACACATCAAGTCATTATCTGTACAGTTGCAAAAACTAGAACTGGTTTAGCAGAACAAGTAACAGACTTACGTGTCAGTGTCCAGGGAAAAGTAGTCGTAGAGTTTGACTATTCTGGGATGGTCCAGTTGCTTGTGGATTCTATATTCTCTACAGGCATGTCTGGAGTGGACAAAACAACAAATGAGCATGTCCATGAAAGAAAGTGAGAGAGAGAAAGGGCAAAAAAGATGGCCAACATACTTGTGGTAGTTCTCCTTCTTCTCCTCTCTCCAGTTCTTGTTGAGCTGGTGGATCTTCACAGCAGCATATCGCTGCTCAAACAGGTCAAATGCCTTCACACAACAACATAAAACAGGTTAAACAAGCCACAATTGTGTCACAAAATAAGCTCTCTGAAACAAACGTAAAAGGTTAATAGTTGATCTCTATGGCTGTCTGTACACATTTTGTAAAATGTCAATCGTTATATCTGTTTTCTATTGTAATTTGGTTTAAAATTTAATTTATTCTTGTGATCAAAGCTGAATTTTCAGCATCATTACTCCAGTCTTCAGTGTCACATGATCCTTCAGAAATCATAATAATATGCTGATTTGCTGCTCAAGAAGCATTACTTATTATTATCAAAGTTGAAAACAGCTGTGCAGTTTTATATTTTTGTGGAAACAGCATTTATTTGAAATAGACATATTTTGTAACATAAATGTCTTCACTGTCCTTTTTGATCAATTTAATGCATCCTTGCTGAATAAAACTGCTAATGTCTTTAAACACCAAACCTTTGAACAGTAGTGTATACATGTTGAACAGGCAAGAACATGAACTGTATTGAAGAGTGTGAGTGCATCTCATGACAAAAAAACAAAATACCTTATAAACTTCACTGAAACCTCCTCTTCCCAGCAAGTGTAAGAGAAGATACCTTTCATTAAGGGTTGGATGGTCTTTAAACCTACAAACACACACAAATAGAGTGGGAATATAGCAATAAAATATAATATACCAAGAAATATCATTAAAATACTCAATGTTTTCCAATGACAGTTTATCGCTGAATGCCCTTTAAGAATTTCACAAGACTTCCACAAACCATATTTAAGATTTAAATATTTAGATATAAGAAGAAGTGGGCGGGACTTACTGAGAACTGTCCTCATTGTTGATTCTTTTAAGTTCTCGAATGTGCAGATTCCTCACGCGCTCCAACCGCTCCAGCTCTGCCTGGATCTCTGCCTCCTCCTGAACACACACACACACACGTGAGCACATACTAACAAACTCATGTATGAACAGCAGATTCCACTGAAAGGACAAAAAGACCATTTGAAACAGCATTTCTGCACGACTGCTTATTCATGAAGCACTAATGCTCCACCTCAATGCCTTTTACCCATCTAACCCTAGTGCACGTGAGAGTGTGTGCATTGTATGTTTTTATAGAGAGACTAACCTTTTTGAGATGACCCAGTCTCAGTTTGAAGATTTCTTCCTGCTCGTGATATTCTGCCACAGTCAGCCTACACATTCAATACAGAAGCATTTCAATAACGGAGAACGGAGTTTCTGGGCCATTTTGGAAGACAATATTGCAGAAAACACTTTAACCGTATTTAAATCACAGCCTTCTGGTGTTCTATAGATCACACATGCTTATATAATGATGTTAAAATTATGAATTGTGCGGCCCTGGTCTACATTAATCCTAATTGTCCCATTTTAATACCACTAGAAGTCAAAGGGAAGTCTCCAATTGGTGTGTGTGTGTGTGTGTGTGTGTGTGTGTGTGTGTGTGTGTGTGAGATTAATTCAACATATATACATAAAAAAACCAACAAAAAATGACAAAAGCACACTACTAAATTACTAAACATTTTGCCTAAAATTAAAATTAAAACATACAAATAAAAAATAATTCTCAATATTAATTAAAATATTAATAGCGCTTCAATGATATTAAAATAACACTGCATCTGATGGTGTTTATGTGAATGTTTGTACAAAAATTATATATTTAAATAATTCGATTCCACCAGCATCCCATCTGGATTTTATTAATAGACTAAATGTAATGTCAAATTCTGTAAATTAGGGTTAGGGATGAGGTCAGCGCATTAGCTTTTATGCTTCAAGTCACATTGCAACAGCAGCACCAGGGTTAAAGGGGTCATATGAGCCGATTTCAAGTTTTCCTTTCTCTTTGGAGTGTTACAAGCTGTTCGTGAATAGATAAGATCCCTAAAGTTGCAATACACAAAATAATGTTCTTTTTAGCAACATCATATGACCCCTTTAACTAAACTAAAACCATAAAAACCCATTTTAGTTACTTTAAAATAAATAAACTTTAACTGAAATATAATAAACCCTATTATTATTTTATTTGAGCTAGTTTCCAAGGCAATATTTCTCATTTAATTAATATACGAAAATAAAACAAATAAAAATTTAACAAAAAACCTAAATTTACTAAAACTTTTAACTAACGCTAAAATGAAAATGGAAAATTCAAAATAACAAAAACTATAATAGTATCTCAGTGATGCTAAAATGACCCTGAGCAGAACACTGGCATCCTGGTCAAGATGATTGTCGTCGTACAATATTTGCACTTTTTCCAGCACTGGACAGGAGCAGCTTTAGTGTGCGTCTGTGTGAGACTCTTACTTGACCAGGTTCTGGAAGGCATATCCGTCTGTCCACTGTTCCGTGTAGGACGCCCCATGCCGGACTGTGGTGAAATGCCCCAGACGCAGCCGGTCCTGCATGCTCTTTTCACGGCAGGACTGCTTCTCTTGAGTGCTCTAGTGAGACGATAAGACATTCGAGACTCACTCAGCCACCCCTGACACATGAGAAATAAGCAGCTGCCAGCATATCAAACACAGCTCACCTTCTCAATGAGCAGTTTTTTACTCATCGTAGTGCATTTGTTCAGACGCTCCTTGAAACGTTCCAGCAGCTTCTGCTGCTCATCTATCTGTCTGCGGAGGTCACAGTTCGCCTGGGGAGAAAACATTAAAACCACTCTGAACGAAAAATGACACTTTGTGACTTCAACAAAGAAAAAAAAACTCTTCTCACCCTGAGTAGATCATCTATTCTGCCCTCTTTCTTCTCAAGGTCAAGATTCTTATTGCTCTCAAGTGCAGCCAGTTTCAACAGTGTCAAATCCGTCTGAAAGCAGAGAAGAAAAGAGAGTTAAACGTGGAGAGAACACAAATAACAACAGCGATTGAAAGAGAATATAATATCCATGAAGGCATGTGCAATCAACAGATATACTGTAAACGGGGCAGTCATGGCCTAATGGTTAGTCAGACCTGTAACCCAAAGGTCCCGGGTTCGAGTCACAGTACTTACACTGCACACGTCTGTGGCGTTCTCCTCCGATTAAAAATAATGGCTAGTGCAGTGGCTGCGATATACGTAAACCTACTAACATCCAACGCCATGACTTATCGAGAGGAAAAAAATTACGTTTTGCGCAAATCTGTAATGGAAACGCAGCTAGTGTCAGAGCATGTAGTGCATAATAAAGGGTCAGTCTGTGCAGTGCAAAAGTGTGCATGCAGTGCATATTTAAAAGTTGTTCCAAAACCGTGTCAGAGTAGTGTGCACGTGTGTAAAGTGTGAGAGTGAGTATAGTGGCAGAGCATGCGGTGCACACATTTAAAAGCAGCAGCAGCGTATGCAATGCTTATTTAATAGCGTCAGTGCACGTTTTGCAGTGTCAGAGTATGTGCATTTTAACACTCTCAGAGCAAGTGTATGTGCATGTGTAACACCATTAGAGGGTGAGAGCATATTTAACAGTGGAGGCAGCGCACATACGACAGTGTTTGAGAGCGACAGTGATGCCAGTGTTACCTGGACACTTCTGCTGCTCAGCGGTTTCGGATTCATCGTGTGATCCATGAAACATAGGCTGGTGGGTGACGAGCTGTTCTGTCTGACCTGAAGAGTGAAAAACAGCAACATTTATATAAAAATTAAATTTAAAAAAATCAACATCACAGGCTCCTTACATGATGTTCACATCTCAAATATCAAACATCAGCACTTACGATAGAGCCGGGTGCAGAGTGAGAGTTCTGTGGTGAGCGCAGGACCGGAGGAAGCCCCCTGACTGGACTGGATCCGTTTCCTCCCTGGAACTTCAGGAAGGAGATATGCTGAGGTTTTTTTAACAGCACCATACAACATACTAACAGGATGTGACATCATCACAATGTTACTGACGACGCTCAAGCGATTTCCCAACTCTACAAGTCAAAACATCTACTGAAGCGAGCAGCCATTAAAAGATGAAAAAGCAGCATTACTCTGACTAAAAGCTCTCTGACACCTGACTGACATTTAATACAGAGCTGACTAAACGCAGAGTCATCCACACAAAGCTTTACTTACATCAGAATAATCGCTGATCTTGGGCCCTCGGCCGGAAGACTTTCCTGAAAGGTTTGGGAAAAAAAAACATAACTTTTCTGCCAGCGCACTGTGCTAAACATTAAGCGCTGTATTTCCCAAAAAACATGAAACACATCATTCTCAGCTTGAACGTTTCCAAAATGCCAGGTTTGTTCACAAATTTCTTCAAACAAGCCAAGTCTCATTAAGAAGTACTTCATTCATACACACAGGAAGTTAACGTTACCTTGGCTGCTCTCTGACTGGTTGTCAACCTTCCTCTTTCTTCCTCTGGATGACTCGGAGTGCTTCTTCTCTGGAGTCTTGGGAAAACAGGAAAAGGTGTTACTATTCTATTCAATCAATACTTCCGTTCACTAAATCAATACAATCAATTTGAATGCTTTAGGTAAGTTCTGAATTTAAACCTCAAAAGGAGCTGTAAACGGTTCACCAATAAGGCTTCAAGACAGCCTTTCTGCATTTGTACAAATTCCACACATCATTCATTTCCCATGTCATTCCAAACCCATTTGACATTTTATTAATATCCTGGATGCTCTTTTCAATGTAATGAAAGTGAATATGCACAGGTGCTGTCAAACTCCAAAATGACAAAAAAAAATAGCAAACTATCATAAAAGCAACTGATTGCAGTTTTACCCTTAAAAGACATGGAATATAGCACTGCAGAAGGAAGAGGCTGAAATATAAGTTGTTATTTACTAAAAATCGTTGCTTCACTGCAGCTTCCGAATTATGGCACGTCACATTTGACATCAACGACATTATCACATAACTGTATTTCTTCATAAATCATAAATGGACCAGTTCTTATTTGTCATTTCCATTCACCTTCATCATACAGCAAGCAAGATATTCGTCAAAAATGCACCTTTTGTGTCTCATGGAAGAAAAAAGTATTTGGAACATTATTATATTTTTGTTTTTAAGAATCATTCCTATTTAAATAAGATCAAATAATGTCAAACTCACTGAATATGCAGGCGATCCTCCTTTCTTTATGTCGGAGTTCTTTAAGGGAATAAAAAAATACACATGGACAAATTGTTGAAACAGATCTGTTCAATAAATAATAAAGCTGAAATGAGTATGCATCACCTCCGACTCCTTGTCACTAGATGACCCCAGGCTGCCAAAACTGTGACTGGAACATTCGTTATTGTTCAAACCCTAAAAGAGAAAGACCACAGCAGGTTTGGTGCAGGTCATGACCATGACAGACGCCCTGTTTACACCTGGTATTAGGATGCGATTTCGTCTATCCGATCACAATTGGACAACGCTAAATACAACGTTTTGAGCTCGTCCACTTTCGACCACTTCCAGAGGTAGTTAAAATAAAACGCATTGGACCGGATTGCGCTCGCAGTGTAGGCCGAATGCGTTCGAACAGCCACGAAAGTCCACCTACTCTCCGCTGACTGAGCTAATTCTAAAATATTACGATGTTAATTTCCTATCCATTAACCGACAAAATTAGAATGTTACATTAGATTTCAATTAAATTTGATGAGTGTATGTGACCCATTAAAAAATATATTTTTTTTTTCAGTGGTGCATAAACAACAAAAGAAAACTGAATAAAATAACATGATAGAAATAAAATAAATAGGCCTACACAAAATGTTTCAGTAGGGCTGCACGATTATGACAAAAATCATAATTGTCGATTATTCCCTTGAAATTGTAATTGCTATTATTAATTACGATTATCACAATTTAAACAAGCTGAAAACACTAACTGAAAAAGTTGTATTGCTTTTCTATAGTACTAAGCCTCAAATGTCATATATACATTGGTTTGGTTTCTTCTTTAAATAATAAAAAAAATTTAAAATATGCATGGTATTATAATGTTATATTAACACTAAAATTAAAACAATGGAAAAACTCTTACGATAACCTGTGGAAAGAAAAAAAACACATCTTAAGCACGCAGAATAACATAAGTGGACTTTAAACGATTAATTGCCGCTTTGAACGATTACGTAATTGTGGCATCCGTAATTGTAATCACGATCAAAATTCGATTAACTGTGCAGCCCTATGTTTCAGTTAAATAATTAACGAATTAACAAAAGAAAAGGGAAAAAAAGTATTTTTATTGCCGCCCCACAAGTTTAAGGAAACAGAGACGACTGAAAGCACATCCTGTTTGTTTTCTTTATTTTACAAAGACGTAGTTTTGTTTTTATTGTAAATATACAAAAATAAAAGTAAACCATTTACAGTTTCAAATGATGTCTTACTCCTATCTTTCAGACCAAAATTTTGACTGATATGTATAACAGAATTTTTTATCCATGCAGCAAACATATTTAAAATAGCTTTGCAGAAAATAAAAAAAAATTATGATAGTATCTCACAGCGTTCAGCTCATATGTAAATTGCACAAGCTTATTTCACAATATTTGATCTAAAGATCAGAAAAAGCCCACTTACACTGGCCCATAGACACTCCTCTCAAAAGAAATCAGGACAGAAGTGGTCGAAAGTGGACAGAAAAGACGGATTAAAACACCAGGAGTGTTCCAGTTATGAGCGTGCTGGGAAATATGGTTTTAATAGAGTCTCCAATTTCAACTTCAGCAACAAAAACTGCATTAGAGTTGGCAAGTTCAGTTCATTTCTGTGAATCATTTCAAATAAATGAATTAATAAATTAATTCAATACTCTGATTCAATTATTTGTCTTGTTCTAATCTTATTCAATCATTATTTACACTCCAAAAAAGGTTCACACATGGGAGTTTAAATTTCTTTACAAAAACATTTTAATATTTTTTATTTTTTTATTTTTATCATTTTAATGTAAGTACATTTTGGTTTTTATTACTATCTTTTGTTAAATTGATGCATATAAAATAAGCAACTTCTGTGAAAAAATTACATGTTTTCAATGTGGAGACATTTAAAATAATTGTATACTACAGTATATTTTGCTACATGTTTAATTACCTAAATGATGCTTTTTCAGTTTTAAGAAAAAAGTCCCATTTTCCAATTTCAGAGTAAATGCATATTTAAATAAAATGAAATAATCAATAATAAAAAATAATTAAATGTAAATAACAATTAATTAAATATCATCCAAAGCATCGCCCTGAGCATATGAGGATGCACATTTGTGTGTTTGCATGCGTGTGCATTACTTTAGGTCCTCCACTCGCGCTCCCCGTGCTTCCTCCTGTATTTCCACTAACTGCTCCGATGAAACGTGCCTCCAAAAGCTCCTGCCGGCGTGGATCCAGAGAATGCAGTTCATCCATCCCTACAAACACACACGATCACACGTCAATCTCAACACGTTCACACACAGGGTTGAGGTTTGGGAGGGGTGTGATCACGGTGACGCATCCTCCTGGAATCTTACGAGACCATCCAGTCATTGTTTTCTGATCCCATGCCACCCTAAAGGAGCCAGAAGATCATAACCTACTTATATTACTGGTTTAAAGGCAAAGTACTTAGAAAAGGTTTACAGCTACAGAACTACACTCACATCAGACTCACATGTTTATTTATATTAATCTGCTTCAAAATGGCCAGACTGTGACAACGATATGTCTACAATAAGATGTCCACCATGCTTCACATCTGACCATCCAAGCTCATCCACAATATTTTTCGTCTGCTCTTTTAGCCATTTTCATTTTTCACGGCAAACTTCAACAGAGCTTCTTGCTGCTGGAGTCAGGACTACTAACAGGAAGTACTTCGAGACACTTCCTGCTCATTATCAGCTGATGCCACTGTCAGCATAGCTCCATCACCTTATTTTCGTCTCAGTAAATAATGACGACACAATCTCCCATTTTAAAAATGAATGATTTAAGTAGCCTAAATACAATGTTTATTTCCACATTTCACTGTGACTGCAATTTTACTGATTATATTTGGTCACATAGAATACCATACATACTGTTCAAATATTTAGGGTCAGTGAGACCTTTTTTTTTTTTTCTTTTTTAAAGAAATTAATACTTTCATTCATCAAGAACACATTAAAATGATCAAAAGTGACAACAAAAGCCATTTATAATGCTACAAAAGATTTCAATTTCAAACAAACGCTGTTCTTTTGAACTTTCTATTCATCAAAGAATCATGAAAACAAATGTATCTTGGTTTCCACAAAAGTATGAAGTAGGGCTGCACGATAAATCGCATGCGATATTTAATGCGCATCTTGTCAGTAAAGACGGTTCTGTAATCAGCGGTAAATCTCTAAAAATCGTACAAACCCCAAACTTTTGAAGGGTACTGTAAATCTGGCACAAACAAAACAACAGTCTGCTAAGAATGCTGAGTAAATAATGTAAGAACTACATTTTTGGTTGAACTATTCCTTCCATGTTTGACATGATCTGGCAGCAGATGCCTGAAGACAGAATTCATCATCATCATTGAAGCAGCTGCCAAATGGCCCCCGTTTCTTCAGCACATGAGACTAATACAATATCAGCAGCCGATAAGAACAACCAGCTAATAACGGCATGAATCATCATTACAAAACCTGTCTAAAGGACTCATCTGGTCTTCAAACCCTATTACAGTGACTAGACAAAACAGCTCAGCTTCACTTGTGTTCTCCAGCCATAAACACCGGCGCAGTGGATGCGTCCGACACCACTGCCATGATAACACTCGTGCCAGAAAGAGCTCCAAGCCAAACCAATCCCAAGATGGTGGATGGGTGGAAAATTATGAAGGTCAACAGGGCAGGAAGAGCACAGCTGCCCAGATAAGGGACACAGATGATAAATCAAACCACTGGGAATGACTAAACACAAACCTAAGGCCACATCTGGTTTGGCAAATAACCCGAACAGCAAAAAAAGCAGTGCTTGGCTAAATGAGACACCTCCCAAACATGCAGAAGGTGAAGTGGAAATGAGTGAAAGCCAATGACCAGGTAACACACAAGCCACATCCTAGCCATCAAGAGATCCCAAAATATAAAAAATCAATAATAATCCAACTTCTTATACAGTAGATGAAAAATACATACACTTTTATATTGTTATACTTCCTTCAAGAACCATGGCTGTACCATGGTAGGATCTTGTGCATTTGTTACAACTACTTTTATATCTGATGCTGATTTATTTTAATAAATAAAAGCCATAATTGTTTAACTTGAGAATTTCAGCTATTCAATCAATTGAAGTATTTAAAAAAAAAATGGATGACACACCAACTATGTTTGTTTTACATGTTAAAAATGCCTGAAAATCAATTCCTGGGGTAAATATTAATGCCACTTAAATTCCAAAACCTCTTGAAATTGTAACATTTTTTTTTTTTAAACTATTAGTAATTATTGTGAAATATTATAAGAACTTAAAATGCCCGTTTTCAATTTGAATTTATTTTAAAATGTAATTTATTCCTGTGATCAAAGATGAATTTTCAGCATCATTACTCCAGTCTTCAGTGTCACATGATCCTTCAGAAATCATTCTGATATGCTGATTTGCTGCTTAAGAAACATTTATTATTTTAATTATTATCATCATCAATGTTGAATAGGGTCGTGCCGATAGACGATAGTATCGTGTATTGACGATAGTCAGAGATATCGCCTGTGGCTGATGCCTTTAACGATAGCAAAACGATTATTATTATTATTATTATTATTATTATTATTATTATCAGGCTAGTAATACTATCTAATTAATATTAGGGCTTATTGGTTGCATTACATTTCTTTTTCCGTGTTTTTACAGTATTGCGAGTTTTAACCAATCACACACAATTATGCTGAGCTTATGAATGCAATGGCCAATCAGAGGCGTTCAGATGAGTTCTAAGGTAAGACGCCAGACCAGTCTGTGCTGAAACGCTACTGTCAATCAAACTATCGTGGGAGGGGGCATCTGAGATCGGCTCGATTTGAGAAAGGGGTAAAGATTTTAGTAGATTAACAAACCACTGGGTGGATTTTTATCATTTTAGGGTGGTTGTGTACACACACTGCTAACACACATTTCAGTTCAAACAACTTGTAAAAGTGCATGTAGCATTATATGACCCCTTTAAAAACATTAGGGCTGCTTTTAGCCTTACGCTGGAGTTGGTTCACTTTCCCGCAATGAAATTTAAATAATGTAAATAATTACATAAATTAGCACGATAATATCGTGTATCGGCGATCTCACAGGCTGACGATAGGACGATATGAAAATTGAGCATATCACCCAACACTAATGTTGAAAACAGTTGTGCTGCTTCAAGGGATTTCACCCAAAAATTAAAATACAATGACGCATGCATGTGCATTCCTCTGCTTGTAAACAAGGCTCAATTAATTTTTTGGTCATTTTTGTGAATGCAAAAAAAGGACAAGCAGGTAAAAGGTTCCACTCTTTCAAAACATTGATAAAAAATTAAAAGGCAGGGCATGCCATTACATGGCTGAGAACTTATTCTTGGACATGAGAATCTGAGTAATGCATTAACACATATGATATTACACTCATCAGTTCACATTCACATGTTAACAGCACATATTAACACAGACCAGCCTGAGTCTCTGGTGGACGTGATAAAAAAATCACAGAAAACAACCGGTATGAGTGACAAATACATGTCAACCTTAAAATCATCATTAAAATCCAGCTAGTTTCTACCAACCTAGCATTTTGGGCAGTTGCATTGCATGCATGGGTGATAAACATTCTCAAGCATACAGACAACAACTACAGACTGTCTCATTTTTGATCTATTGCATTGTACAGTGATAAATACTTACTTTCTCTAAACCTCAAAAACATCAACTCGTGTTTATCAGACTGGCTGTTTGTCAAAACATAGCCTAAAGTTAGCTAGCTGCCTACCTAGACACAAAGCCAGCATGTCTGAGTAATGCATTAACACATATGATATTACACTCATCAGTTCACATTCACATGTTAACAGCACATATTAACACAGACCAGCCTGAGTCTCTGGTGGACGTGATAAAAAAATCACAGAAAACAACCGGTACAACACTTACAGGTTCATCAAAAACAAAGGAAACTGTATAAGCTGAAACATGCATCTAAATCAGATGTGTATCAGATGGTCTTTTGCTTTAAGGTTCAAAGCCATTCAGCTGATTCCAGGGACAAAACTACATATCAAGCTGCAAAAAAAAAACAAACAAAAAAAAACTGCAACACCTCTCCAGCACATGCATATTATATTTGAGAAAAAAATAACACACAACCACACCAATTCATGTTTATCTGATGTGTCCAAATTCAACATGGCTACCTAGAAAACATTTCATGCAGATAAATAAACACTCTCACACATACAGAACACCAACTAATGTGTATCAGGCACAAGTTGTGTCTCAAAAAACCTTTTGCCTACCAAGACAGCATTCTTGAGATATCGCATAACATGCATTGAATACTAGATAAATAATTCAATACTTTCAACTATAAAAACATAAAATCATGTTTATCAGGTACTGGCACTGTATTAAAATCCAGTGAGATGCCTACCTACACAGCATCCTACATGCATTACTGACTCAAACATTAACATCAACTTGCATAAGCATGCATGGGTGATAAACATTCTCAAGCATACAGACAACAACTACAGACTGTCTCATTTTTGATCTATTGCATTGTACAGTGATAAATACTTACTTTCTCTAAACCTCAAAAACATCAACTCGTGTTTATCAGACTGGCTGTTTGTCAAAACATAGCCTAAAGTTAGCTAGCTGCCTACCTAGACACAAAGACAGCATGTTGGGGCAACATTAAAAAGCACAACAAATACGCACCTATGATGCCCAAAAAAATGCAGTCTAGGTAATCATCTCGCTAGGATTTGAGACACGGCCAGTGACTGAGTTCCCTAATAGGTGACCATGGGCATCCTCGCGTCAAATTAACCGTGCAATCAACACAAAAAGCGACAGAATTCCACCGCAAACAGTTTAAAACACAGCAGCTCGTGTCTAGGACTCGATGCTTGTTATAAAAACACAGAGAGTCACAGTCAGCAGACGAGAGATCAGCGGCCTCCGACACGACCGCTTCGATTCGAGACCCGATTTACTCAAAATCACACGTCAATCTTATACAATCCCGACCGATTTCACATGAACAAACTTCAAATTCACATTCACGCCGGGTTTACCTTCCTTAGGCCTCCGCGGAGCGCAGATATCGAGCGGAGAAACCGAGCCCGGGGTCGGAGAGCCAGTCGAGAACTGAGAGCAAGATGGCGCTCCGTCCAAACTTCCAGTGCTGTTGCTGTTACTTTGGACACTCATGAAGACACTTTCCCCGCGAAGAGACTCTCGAGCGCATCGCACACATGATCTCTGTCGAATCACACCTGTGTGTGTCTAATGCATCATGCACAAACCCGGATGATCAATGCAAAGCCGCTCATGTTTTCAGCTCCGCACTGCGCACCGAGATCCTCACTCACTCTCAGTGTGTGTGTGTGTGTGTGTGTGTGTGTGTGTGTGTGTAGCCGATGCGTGACGCCAGTTGCAAAGGTAACACACATGTACATACTCACACACATCAGTGCAAACTTCAGATCACACGTCTGATGCTTCAACCCTTCTAGCAAATTCTATTATGGATAAAATTACTCTTTGCCTTAATAGCTGATCGATCAGATATTATCAGTTATATCAGCTAATAGCTGACGATCCGTCAGCTGATCATTATTGCAAAATAAACAGGTTTGATATGAAGTGGTCATGAGCAGCATTTAACTTCTATCATATAAGACCATAATAGCCTAAACTATATTTAGAAGTCAAAAGTGTTTATTTTGTAATAATGACTGGATTACTTAGGTGGGCTATTACATGGCTACTTACCAAATTAATAACTATACATGATCATACTAATGTAAATGACTTGAGTTGAAATTAAATTATTATTTTCTTAATGTGTTCTTAATATAATAATCATTAATAAAAATACTCATAATAAATAAGAATAAGTGTATTTACAAGCTTCTTCTCAAAATAAGTACATTATTAATAAGGTACATGTATATTCCTAGAACTAAAATAATAATAATATATCAATAAATAATGTCCTATGATAAATATGATATAATAATAGTGTATGTAGGCCTACAATAATATATTAAAAGTGCGTTTAATCTTCTTCACAAATGTCACATTTTAAGTTAATGCATATTCATTAGAACATTAGATCTATATAGTAACAGCTCTGTAATGTAAAGTGAGATTTTTTTTAGTTTATTGGATGAAACGTCCTTGTTTGTCTTTCTGTGTGTGTGCGTGTGTGTGCGTGTGTGTGTGTGTGTGTGTAAATGGTTGTACATGCAGATTTATGCGCACCATGCACAGACATCTTCATATGTGATTTGCTGACTCAGAGCTGAGCTTTACCCTCTGAACAGCTCCAGACACATATTTCACAACATCACACTACAGTTACCTTCCTCTGAACTCACCACAGAGGAACTCAACTTATGATTTCACTGGAATAAGAGCACACATTATATATTCTGCTGAAATGAAGACATGTTTTAAAATGCAAATATATGTTCTGCCTTTTCATGTCAACAGATGACAGCTGTATCGGTTCACAGAGTTGATCAGTTTATGAATAGATCCCGCTGAATCACACCAGCCTCTGAGGAACTGCTTTTTACCATCTGACCGGAAATGTGTCAGGTTCCTCCTTCACAATCTGAAGGTGTTCATGGAATATTCTCAGTCACTCAGTCTACAATTTCCAGAGACATCATTTCACCCCCACAGTCATAAAGTTATAAAAGGAAAATACTGCATAAACTCTTTTTATATAGAGACATGCTAGGCAATAGTAGAAAGAATTTCACTGACACTTTCATCCTGCCTGCAGTAATCTGAATTAAGTGTCTTGATCAAGGGTAAATATGTGCATTTATGAGTTATGAGCTTTACTCACTATATGACACACCAAACCCAAAAAGTCTCTTCCTCAGATGCCCATAAACCTCGTCCACTACACAGTCTGGTGTAAATTGCAAAGAAAAATGGAAAACATTCTGTAAAATCTTTATAAGGGCTCATAGGTTTCTTTATCAATCTAAATTGTACCAGCTAATGACCATTTTTGAGGGGTAAAACATTTTTTGGTTTTTTTTTTTGGTGCCATCTTTAAATCTTTTGTTTAAAGCACTTAACAAACTTTCTGAGGCCTGATTCTGTAAGATCATAATAATATGTTTGTCCTCTGATTAGAACTGTCACATGATCGTGTATAGGTAACATGAACATTGACATCAGTTTAGAGGAAATAAGAGATTTTCCCTCTATGATTCTCTAGGAAAGGAAGAAGCATCTAGTTGATCCCTGACATGTCTTACAGTCCAGAGCAAACAGAGGATTAGCCTTTTCATTAGTTTATTTTTTTATAGCCTCAGTTTACATGTCAGGACTAGGTGGTCCATAAAGTGAAGGAACAACACATTAACAAAGTTGCTTAGAGGAACAGTTTACCCAAAATGAAAATTTGCTAAAAATGTACTCACCCTCAGGCCATCCAAGATGTAGATGAGTTCCTTCATCAGAGCAGATTTGGAGAAATTATCGGTAAAATAATCCATGTGACATCAGGGGTTCAAACCATAATATTACGAAAATACGAGAATACTTTTTGTGCGCAAAAGAAAAAATAACGACTTTATTCAACAATTCGTCTCCTCCGCGTCACCCTAGCGCCATTTTGGAGAATATCCACTGAACGCAAACAGCGTATGTTGTTCTGTGTCAGCCGCACCACACTTTTTTTTGCGGACAAAAAGTATTCTCGTAGTTTCGTAATATTACGGTTGAACCCCTGATGTCACGGATTATTTTACTGATCTCCTTGCTACGTTTCTGGACGTTGATCGTGGTAGTTACCTTGCTGTCTATGGGAGGGTCAGAGAGCTGTCAGATTCCATCAAAAATATCTTAATTTGTGTTCCGTAGATGAACGAAGGTCTTACGGGTTTGAAACGACATGAGGGTGAGTAATTAATGACAGAATTTTCAGTTTTGGGTGAACTATCCCTTTAAGCATTACATCCATTGCTCACCAATGGATCCTCTGCAGTGAATGCCTTTTAGCTGAACTTCTCAAATTTTAGCTGAACTTCTAAAATTGATGAACTTCATACTGTTTTTGATCTGAACTGAACCAACGCTGAACTGACTTGAGTTAAATAATGACACTATTTTCTTTTTAGAGCTGCATAATTGATTCTGTTTATGACTGTGAAGCTTCTTTGACATAATCTGTATTGTATAAAGCACTAGAGAAATAAAGGTGACTTGATTGACTTGAATGGGTGCCATCAGAATGAGAATTCAAACAGCTGATAAAAACTTTTTGTGAAGAGAAAAGGTGCGTGTTTACAAGAAACAAATCTATAATTAAGGAGTTTAAACTTCCAACCATTGCTTTTGGCTAAAATATGAGTCCATATATTGTTTTCTCCAGTGAAAAAGTCATCTGAATTAGGAGAGAAATATGCACAGATCAAGCAGCATTTACAAGTGAAAACAATCCAAAACAGTTCTAAAAAATATATGTGGGTGGATTTTGATGTGAGAGACAACAGGGGATGGACTTTAGAGGAAGCATTATTATGGATTATGGAATCATATTTTGGCCAGAAGTGAAGGTTTAAAAATAAAACATCTTAATGGTGGATTTGTTTCTTACAAACACATAGCTTTTCACTTCACACGACCTTAACTGATGGACTGGAGTGGTGTGGATTACTTGTGGATTATTGTGATGTTTTTATCAGCTGTTTGGACTCTCATTCTGACGGCACCCATTCACTGCAGAGCATCCATTGCTGAGCAAGTGATGCAATGCTACATTTCTCCAAATCTGTTACGACGAAGAAATAAACTCATCTTCATCTTGGATGGCCTGAGGGTGAGAAAATTTTCACCAAATGTTTGGGTACACTATTTCTTTAATAAAATAATGTTTCATTCATTTATTTATTTTCAAAATATTTTTTTGTTTCAAGATACATCTGTGCATTTTGTGCTAACTATCAGACCCTAGTTGAAATAATGTGATTGTGGTTACAGGTGACTTTTATGCCTGTTGCAGATATATTTCCTCAGATGCTGAGGGAGTGTGATTGATGTGGGGTGATAAAATATAGAAAACATCTGCAGATATATAGAAACATGCGTGTTCATACACCTGCTAACCCATAACCTGATTTTTAGTCACAGACATGTTGCCATGGAAACTACAACGGCCCTTTACAGCCATTGTCATATGGCAAAAGACAAAGGAGATGTAGGTTACAGGGCCTTTGCTCATCTCTTCCACACACACACACACACACACACACACACACACAGAAATGACTTCACCATGAAACAAGTCCCTGAATCATGCACACACAAGCTCCAGCACACACACACACACACACACACACACACTCATATTCAGGTTGTCATATTTCCGCTCATATATCAAATTCACAACACTTCATGAATGAAATCACCAAATGCATTGGCAAACAGGGTGTGGTGGGAAAAGAAAAACAGCATTATTTTTCACTTGCATTGTTTTTAGCCAGCTTTGGTATTATTTATGCAAAAATGCCATTGTTTCACACATATGTTATAATAACACAGTGCACTATTTTGAATATGCAGAATGGAGAATGTGCATGTTTTACCTGTTTAAACCCATCCAATTTAAAAGCAGCTGATTCAGATGTCACCATAGGTTACCATTTTTTTCAGTGCGTTCCTCACAAATATCGTATGACTTCAGAAGACATAAGAAGTAACATGAGCTATAATTTTAGGATGCTTTTTTGTTGTTGTTTGATATTCTTAGTCACTAAATTGTCATTCCATTTTGTCATATGGAAAAGAGATGCAAATGAAATGTTTCATTTTTGGGTGAACTATTGCTTTACAAGCTCTTTGTGCTATTCTTTCATATGGGGCTGGCATGCTGAATAAAGATATGAATGAATAAATGAGTCTCTTTTTATTGCTGATGGCAGAATCTTGGTGAACAAATAAGTGCATCATCAAGACATTGATTTATATTTCAGTACTGATTATGCACAAATGTTTGCACTGCTAACTGAAAATATATACACTACATTCAGACTCACATCTGTTCATTTATAAAACACTTAACCAAGGACAATAACACCTGACAAAGCATGAACAAGTGTCATAAATAGAGCTCTGCATCTACCTCCTACACATGTTCATCTTTCCTTTTATAACAGGAAAGTGCCAGCCTGGAGTGGCTGAACACACAAGTAAAAAAATTATTTACTTACTCGTTGCTTAAACGTCATACTCGTACATCAGGTACATGCGAACCCATTCCTCTGATGCAATAACTGCAAAGAGACATACAGCTGTGTTAAATATCACAGAAACTTTGGATTCTATTCTATTCTATTCGAATGTACAGCAAATAAAGATTTTTTTCTGGCC